GCCAGACAGAGCCCCATCCTGACCCTGGCCCTTCAGCACAGCTCCGGGGCACACAGCCCCATCCACTTGCCCTGTTAGACACAGCCGGCAGTGACAGCAGACAGGGAGACACTCAAGGGCTGGAGTCAGCAGGGAGCCCTGTCCAGCAGGGGGGCCATTACTCATGAATGCATCTTCTGCTCCCCTCCCAATCTTGCCCCTTCAGTGCTCCCTTGTTCAATTCCGGAGCTGGATCCCAGCAGCCAAGACAGTCTGACTGCTTCAGGGCGCAGAAGGGTTCCTCAACTGCCACATGGTTAGTTCTCCCCACCTTCTGTGGTTCTGGGCATCCCACCCCTGGCCCCCATGGGTACAGGATACTCCTACCCCTTATGCGTACTAAGAAAACAGTCCTGTATTTTTGAAATACAATGTTGGTAATCCTAGAAGGGAGGGCATCTTGCCATGAGATTCTTAACCCCCTCCCCAAAGACCCCATGAAAGTGCACAGGGAAATACTTCATATTGCTCCCTTTCACAGGCCCTGCTGGGAGCATGGTTTCTTCACCCCCTTTCCCAGGGTGAACAAGGAAGGGAGATGATCTCTATCTACCTAGAACACAAGTAGTCTCTTCCTTTTCCTGATGTCTGTAGCTGCAATGTATATTGCTGTACAGTGATGACAAAGGAAGGCAACAGGTGGCTTTGGAGTGAAAACAGCAGCTGCAGAGCACCCCTCAAGAGTAAGCAACAGATGAGAAACTTGTCTCTGTAATGTTTAAACACTAAAGGGGATTTTTCATCAAAAACCCCACAACTCAACACACTAGTCCAATACAGCTCTGGCAATACTAGCATTAAATATTGCTTCAAGGCCAGCAAATTAATACAAAAGAGTATTTTAGTGTGTGACATCAAACAGAAAACCAACTATCCAAAAAAGCTTCCTTTTTACTAAACAGATCTTCTCTGTCCAGGTATTCAGATCCTATGTACTTATCTTAATGATTCAAATATTTTTTTAAATAAAGTTTTACTTCTGTTAGTATTGCAGAGCCAATACATTTTGGCAAAAATAAGCTAATTCTTTTCCAGTTCACACATCCAAATTGTTGACTAAGTTTCATATGCAAAACTTTTATTATTGGTGATGTATGATAGCCACAAAGACTAAAACTTGACTTTCAGGTTTCAGATAAAGTTTGCAGAGCTGGCAGTTGGGGTGGGGGGAGGGGAAGGGGAAAGACATCTTTTTACTCATAAATTGAGTAAAGGTTTTTTTTTTAGGTCACAGAGGAAAAAGAGAACCACCCTCAGTGCCAGTTTTCAGAGTGTAATAGCACTTTTGTGGTTTCCTTATGCAGCAGCATCTCTTTAAAGCCTCACTTAGGATTATAGCTAAGCTTTTTTTAATCATATTTAAAATCTAAAGGAATCACCCCACAATTCTAAATTTTAATAGCTTTAGAAGTAGGGGCCTAAGCTGTTTGACAGGGTCACTTGGTGGAGGGAAAGTACATCTTACAAGAAAAAAGTAATTAAAATAAGATTGCTTAAAAACTAAATATAAAACATACAAATTGTTTGAGATTGCAACAGGTTAACAAAAGTAGACAGTGAATTATTATAGGCAATACTTGCAAGGAGACTGAAAAAGGAAAAGCAACAAACCAGAAAAATTTCTTATTTTCTCTAACTTGCTACTTTTATCAGAGCTATAATTTGCTGTGAAATACATCCATTCCAGAGAATGTTTTGTTGTGAATTTTTCCATGCAGTAGGAAGTGGGTTCAGAATTATTAATTCATTTTCCTTTCACATTTCAACAATCAAAGACAAATATTTCAAAGATATTTATGTGAACCAGCACACCACTAGAGGACTATGAATTAAGAACTGTTTACACCATGAAGTTCTTCTGGAATAGTTAGAAATATTACCAAGATCCCTTCTAGTCCTATGATTACCATATCACACAATTAATAGAGAATGGATTGGAAGATAGCTGGTTACACTTTTTCCTATACACAGTAAAACTGGCACAATATAACAGTAAATTAGCTTTTATAGATGCTATACAATAGAGTAATCAAGAAGTTTTTTTATGTTGAATTATATTTTATACATTAATGCAAAACTTAATACATTAATATGAGACCAACTAAAAAAAATGAACAAGTGGTGTGTATTCAGCAAAAGAAGCTGCATGTCCGGTATTACAATGGAACAGCAGCAACCCTGAAAGCATTGTGTAAAACGTCTGGCTTTAAACTAGCCCTTAAACCCTCTCTGTAGCTCACAAAACTAAACATTCAAAAGCCCCTAAAAATAGAATTAGAAATACTCCCCTTGAATTTTTGATAGTACCGGGAATACTGACAAGCACTCCTAGACTTCGTTACAAACCCTCATAACTGTCCCTTTTCTGAAATTCTGGAAACATGTCTTACACTTTTTGGTATCCTATAACTAATCTTGGCCCCTACAATGTCCTCCCACCACTAGGCCCTGTGGGTAACATAGGGGATGCATACAAAATTTAGTATTATTTTAACCTGTTCACTTTCCCATCATAAAGTGAGATTACTCAGCCTGTGCAGGGTTGCCAACTCTCCAGTATTGTCCTGGAGTCTCAAGGAATTAAAGATTAATCTTTAATTAAAAATGTCATGTGATGAAATCTCCAGGAATACATCCAACCAAAAACTGGCAATCCTAGCAGTAACTGCAGTTCTTCGAGAGATGTATCTCTATGGGTACTCCAGTTCAGGTGTGCATGTGCCCCACCCATCTTTGATAAAAGATTTTCATTAGCAGTGTCAGTTTGGTCCGTGCATGCACTGCTGATATCCTCATGTCCCGCACTGAGGCTATACCAGGCTGTGCGGGTAAACTGCCCTCAGTTCCTTCTCCATTGCCAAGTTTCAGAAGGAAACATCAAATCAGAAGGAAAAGAGGGCTGGTAGAGGTGTCTCTCCCTATGGGAAATCCACTAAGAACTACAATTACTGCACAGGATATTTCTTCGAATAGTGTCCCTATGGATGCTCCACCTCAGGTGACTCCTGAGCAAGATCCCCATAAGGAAAAGAGAGTTTTGGAATAAAGTCCAAAACATAGCAAAAGAACTGCATTGCCAACTCCCCCACTTCAGATCTAGAGGAATCAACTAAGGCATAAGCCTGGAGACGATATGTACTGAGGACCTGTAAC